ATTTATATATATATATATATATATATATATTTTACACACAGGGGTAAAATAAGTGTGGGCTTCAATCAAATCAATCAATCAATCAATCAATCAATCAATCAATTAGTTCAATAGAGTCTGGCTGCAAACTTGCACTCTCAGGCAACTGTGTTTCCTCTGCAGATGATGTCATTTACAATCGACGCCTGTGCCCGCTTGCATGAAAGTCCTTCAGTCATGTAACTTAAGGGTGTCCCTGAGGGGGAAAAATTCCTGATGTAAGGTATTTCATTAAGATCGTTGCAACAAACGCCTTATCTGTCACCCTTACCTAAGTGCTTTTTTCTAAGTGTTTTACTGTGATTTCTGGCAACACACGACGATGGGTGCCGCACTTGCAATAGTTACGTAAACAGATCGTGACAAACCACGAATGCTTGCCTTACAACAGCTCTGCGGTAAACATCGCCTGTGCCATTTTCTGTCTGTTAAGCGAGTCAAGACACCCTTATCGAGTCAATTTCGACATTAGGACCTATAAAACTGGGCTGGGATCATGTAGAGACTCTTGAAGCTGCACTGAAACTACGATTTCATATGGATGCACTCCTGCGCAGACATGCTAACTTATCAACACATATATATATTAGTTTATTTATTAAATAGGTTTATTACATTTTTTATCTACAGTCCTGTAAGTCTTTTATCGAAAACATTTTTATTTTTGTGCAAATGGTAGAATTTTGAGTCATTTGTTTAAGGGAGCTGCTTAGGTCCCTTAAATATTTTAAAAGAAAATGGTTTTTACTAAGGGGAAATACTTAATAAAACCCTTAAATTCCTTTAGGTGATATTTTTTATGTTTTTTTTCTTCTTGCGACCCAACTTTTACTAAGGGAACCCTTAACTTTAAACTGAGTGATTTTTGGTTAAGGACTTTCATGCAAACGAGCCCTGCACTTTCCTGCCACATCACTTGCATCGACATCTATATTCTTGTTTGCAATCATCCTGGGACCTGCTGAATAAAGATTAGTTCCCAAGTCATGAATCAGTGCTGTAAGTCTATAATGTGTATCCATTAGTTGTAATATTACAACTCCTTGAAATGTTTAAAATAAAAACTAAAATTCTGTGTCTACTTAGACCTGATAGTTCATATAAATAAATAATAAGTTTTGCTGGTATAAATGTTAATAGTAGCCTGCTTTGGTAAATTTACAATAAACCGTTATAATCATAATGAATACACAAACTGCTTATATTTTCGAGTGGGGAGAAGGAGAGGGGATCTGTTATGGTATACAACTTAAGTACTTAAAATTATTTGACAGCATCATCACTGGCAACCCAAACAAACTGGAAACTTACTTTCAGCTTATTTGTGTCAATTGCAAATGACTCGCTAGGAGAGTGCAGGTGTCGATTGTAAATGACATTACTTGCAGAGGTTAGGTAAAGGCCTAAAAGTGCAAGCCTGAGAGTGCTAGCCTGAAAGTGCAAGTGCAAATCTGCAGCCAGACCGTTCTTAATCAATCAATCAATCAATCAATCAATCAATCAATCAATCAATCAATCAATCAATCAATCAATCAATCAATCAATCAATCAATCAATCAATCAATCAATTAATCAATCAATCAATCAATCAATCAATCAGTTTATCTGTCTGTCATACATAGTTTATAGCTTAGAGTATACATTTTTGAAATACATGTCATGTGGACTGACCAACATTAATAAAACAAAACCTGAATAAAGAAAAAAAGCAAAACTTCATAAAGAGAAACACAAAATAAAATGTAAAAAAAAAATAAAAATCTTCAAATAAAATAGTAAATAATAAAAAACAAGTCTGATTATGTAAAAAAAAAACTACCTTATTGTTTAATATTATTTAACATGCAAGGATAAAACATAAAACATAAAAATCGTTTTAAATATAAGACAAACAAACAATATATTGACAGGCAGATAGTTAATTCATGTGCAGCTATGAAAGTGTGTAAACACATTTAAGAGAAAGGAAAAGAAGAACGGCATCATTCTGAGGCTGCTCATTGCTTTCCGTCCACTCCCTTAGACCTCTTTTATTATGCACTTTGAGTTTCTTGCCTTCCATTCAAACACTGCTGATTGCGTCGTGATTACCAATGATTTCTTTGAGCCCTTCGTAGCAACAATCACGATGGAGACGGGCACATTTTAATGAAAACAGGCAATAAGAGAGAAATGCGGGTAATGCCACATTTTTATTTTTTTTGCCATGCATGAATAAATCACTTCATATAATAAAAGAGCAGTGAAGAACACCGTTTTAATCTGTTAAAATGTTTTGATGATTATAGGTTTGGATTGAGTGGAGAAATAAATCAGAATTTGCTTTCAACAATAGCAGAAATACACAAAAAGTACTAGAATTGTGTTGATTTAAAGATATAGTTCACCAAATACATCTACATGTCTGGTTCTTTTGTAAAGCTCAGTCATCATGGCTGTCTCGAAGAATGCAAAATAAATCACTGTAATGAATCCACTTCCATAGAACCTTGATCATTCACTCTTTTTCCTTCAGCTTAGTCCCTTATTCATCAAGAAATGTACCACCAACTATTCCAGCATATGTTTAAACCATTGAATGACCTCCCAGTACTGGGAAACACCCATACACTTTAGCATCCATGCACACACTCATACACCGAGGCCAATTTTGTTTACTCAATTGACCTATTCAGCTTATTCTTCACGTATGAGTGGGTGCAGCCTTTTTGGCTTAAGACTTACAGTCTTATTTACTTCAATTTACTTTTAGACATTAAAAACAGTTTGTTAGAAATGTAATTAATATATAATATAACTATAATAATTTTTCATCAAAAGATGAATGGATGAACGGATGAACATACGAACGAACGAGCGAGCGAGCTAATATCAATAAAAGACAAACTAAAACAAAACTAAAATAAACAAACTCACAAAAAACACTCAAAACATAACAAAATACAAGTCAACACAAAAAAGAAAGCTACAAAGAATATCAAAACATCCTAAAAAGAAAGTCACAAGACTCCAAATGCAACAAAACCCAAGCAAAAACAAAACAAAAGCAATGAAAACAAG